TATTATTAGTATGCTGTGTGTACCTTGTGTGCACCGCCTAGTGGTTAAAGCACGTAATTGAATTATTTTTGTTGAATAATGTTATTTGATGAAAAAAATATTAAGAGTACATACTTTCATAGGGGGAAAGTAGAAGGTCAATGATAGAAATATAGAATATAAAAAATCAAGAAGATACTGTAAGTGATCTCTACAATAAAACAGTTTAGTGCCGGATGTACAAAGATATTAATATGAGGATGTGCAAAACAGACAAACTAATTAACCTTTATTTAAACATTAAAGAATACTTTAGATTAAGGTCTTCTTTTAAATAAGAAAAAAGCTTTGGGGGTATTTACAGATAAATATTAAGCCTGACAAAGTACTTAACGTCTAATATATTGCTTTCCTGCAATGTTAACTATGTTGAAGCACTTATTTGAACTGATATTATACACATTAATTATACTCTTATGTATGTAGATAGTATAAGAAATATGCAGAATATGACAGTTTAATGGTGGAGGTATACACACATATTGATAGATGTCTTGTTGAGGAACCTGCGACCCAAGTTCTTCATTCATTGCATAACTACACCGTAGTTGTGTATATGATATGTCAATAAACCTTAGAAAATCTTGAAATCTTGAAAGGGATGTGAAAAATAGCCATTATATACAGTCTTTAATTAACTATTAGTAGAGAATAACGAGTAATGAATATACTTTATAGAGATCTGCAGATAAATGTTTAGTCTTCTCAAGCAGCAGCTATCAAATATCTCTCCTGATTGTTGGCACTTGACAATCACCTTCCCTGAATTTTACTCAGGTGTAACTAAAGTCTGATTTAAGGGTTGTTTATATTTCACATCATTAATCAGAATCTGCAAAGTAACTAAAATAAATGTAGTGGAGTAGAAATACCAGGTTAACCTCTGAATTGTAGTGGAGTAGAATTACAAATAAACAATGAGCTGTCATGTGGGTATATATTAACGCTGCCCATTATGGACACAAGCAATTTTCACCCATTTATTAATTATATGTTTTAAATTTATAATTTACACTTTGCTTGTGTCCAAGCAGGTTTCCAGGGTTGGACTGTGCCAGGGTTTGTCCCTAATTATTTTAGGAACTTTATGAAAGGATCCTTAGGTGCAACCGGAGAGGTATTATCTGATTTTGGGATTTCGGCAAAACCTGTACTCTACTGCCACAACCAACTGTCCATATCAACCTTCATTTTACCCACATTACATTTTACAAGACTTTAAGATGCATCTATACTCTTGGCAGATGAGGTTGTTCAGATGACGTCCAGCAAGCACTGAGGCACTGCAGCCCGGTGTTCATCGGTTGGGATGAGAGTCAGCACCTATAGATCTAAAGCCATGGTTGTCTGCGGGTAGACGGTTGAGTTCTGACCATAGGGGTTAGGAGTGAGTTGCTTCCCCAAGTGAAGGAGTTCAAGTTTATTTGGGTCTTGCCTTGAATGAGTGTGAAATGGAGCGTGGGGTGGATGGGTGGTCTGGTGCGGCGTGAGATAGGATGGTGGCATTGCACCGGACCATCGTTTTGAACAGGCAATGGAGTCGGAAGTTAAAACTTAAGACCTACCTTTTCATTTACGATCCAACCCTTATCTATGGTTTATAAGCCTGCCTGTGCATAATAAGTTTAACTCTTAAGCTGCATTCACATGATAGGTGATTTGCTCTTTGCTCAGGTTGGGTGGGTGTAGAGCCTGGCTGTGAAAACAGCTCGTTAAGTTTGGTTCCATGGTTACCTCCATTTCAGCTACATACGCTACACACTGCTGTCCTCTGATTGGTTGCTCATCGAAAGGTCAGCAATTAACAAGGTCAAAGTTTAAAGAATTTTAACTTTGAGCGCAACGCTTGGTCACAATTTTATGCAACGCTGAGGGTATCGCTTCAGCCTAGCCGGGCGACACCGCTCTCTCCCTAGAAACACAACTGCAGCGCCAGCGCAGTGCCGCTAACTATGTGAATACAGCTTTAGGGTGATTTGGCTCAGCTTTAGAAATGTAACGAGGAGCTCCAACATCTGGAGGGAGCTCGGAGTGGAGAAGCTGCTCCGAAGGGGGCAGGTCGAGGTGGTGGGGCTTCTGATAAGGATGCCACCGGGGGCTTTTCCGTTAGATGTTTTCCGAGTCCAATGCACTTCTCAGAGCCCCAGGGTAAACCAAGAGCATGCTGGAAGATTATTTATCCTGCCTGTCCCTGTAGGAGCTTGGAAACGTTGCTAATGAGAGGGTTATCTGGAGGATTCTGTGGCCCGGAGAAACAGTCTGATGATGCATGAAGACTTGGATTAGCAGCAGCCTTATTCTGCAGCGGTGTGGTGTTGGCCCGGTTTGGGTGCTACCGGGCCAACACCACAGATGACTTTGATGAGTTTCGGTTGTACTGTGCCAAAGTGCCAACAATGAGGCTTCAAAACTGTCGTCCACAACACAACAGGAGATGTGACGGTGACCACGTCCACTTATACAGTCAATGTTCATTGAACGTCTGCTTTGGGCAGAGCAAACAAAACTGTATTTCCAGTGTAGAGGCATTGTGACAAAAAATACAAAAATTAAAGATGAGTATTGGGGTCATTTGGGCATCCTGTGTCTGGAAAACCTCTTTAAAGATATGACAACATCATCTACTCAAGTGATCCTATGCGCCCCAACAAACAGCTCAGTCTCCTCACACATACTCTCTCTTCTGTCCTCAGGACTGTTTGTTTGGTCTGTAGTGGAAACTGCACCAACTGTTGCCGTCTTTACTTGATAAACTGATGAACTGAAGGACTGCAGCTTTCTGCACTGCCACACTGTGTTTAAATCTCTGTGAATGGGTGTCAGCTAAACGCCTCAAATGTAGTATGAGAAGGGATTGACAGCAGATAATGGAGTTAAGGCTGAGATTATCCTCAGAGCAGCGATATCTGTTGGTATCAGTTGGCTCTGTGTGACCGCGGACATGATAGCACTTCCTGCAGGAAAGACACTGATACATTGTTTTAATCATCTGTTTATTTCGGCCTACAGCAATCTCTTATTATTACTGTCTCAGTCCACCCTCTCTTTCTTCCCAATGTTCTACTCCTCAGATCATTGCGTTCAGATTCTTGCTCTATCTTCTTGTGTCTCTTTGCTGTTTCGATCTACTTCTCCATGAGTTTGTCTTCACTTTTCACGCCTTGTTTTCATCTCACTGTCTCTGAGGCTCTTTTTCCTCGGTTGAATTCATCCCTTCAGTTGGCAGTATTATTGGCAAACAGCCGGTTGTTTGAAGGTTCATTCTGGAGGTATGGATGCTCAGGGGTCTTCTAAGTGGAGTCTCTTTTGGCTTCTCTAAAAGTCGATATCATAACATAAAAATGTTACTAACAGTAATGGAACAGACTTTAAGTCTAATTTATTATGGCTTTTCAGAAGCATTTAACCCTGGAGCGACATTCCACAGCTGACAGGGGCAAACTTGTCTCATAACTGAAAGTGTTCAGTATATCTGAAATGACTAGGTTAGCTACGTTAGCTAGCTAGCTTACAGCAGATCTGCAGTAAAATCAGAAGGAGTCATGTGATCACATTGTTAAAATAAGACCATCAAACATTTTAGGTACGTTTCCAACAACAGAGACAGTTGTTCAGCTTTATAATCCTGAACTTCACCAAGCGCTCCGTCCCAGCTGTGTGCGTCACTTTTTAGTGTCCCCTGGTCTCCCAGCTGTGTGCGCCACTTTTTAGTGTCCCCTGGTCTCCCAGCTGTGTGTGTCACTTTTTAGTGTCCCCTGGTCTCCCAGCTGTGTGCGTCACTTTTTAGTGTCCCCTGGTCTCCCAGCTGTGTGCGCCACTTTTTAGTGTCCCCTGGTCTCCCAGCTGTGTGTGTCACTTTTTAGTGTCCCCTGGTCTCCCAGCTGTGTGCGTCACTTTTTAGTGTCCCCTGGTCTCCCAGCTGTTTATGTATGATATGTCGTTCTCCCGCTTGCTGCTGGGTGCAGGTGAAAGGTGAAAGTTATGCACAGAGCTTGCATACTTGTATTAATCTCTATAAACGCATATCTGCATGTGAATGCAGAAATAAACTCATCCTCGTCAGACTTCTTGGTTCCAGGATTGAACTTTTACAGCATTGCCATTATATCCTTGTGTCTTTTATTTTGAAATATGTTCTTTAACTTCCGGTCCACCGGACTGCTTTTCTTCATTCTTCAATACAAAACGGAAAATTGAATGAAGTTGTGATCAAAAACCAAAACAGGTTAACAAGAAAGTTATCGGTTCGCCAAGGAGGAAGTGGAGCACACAGGAGACAACCGTTTCATTGCAGACTGTTATGTTTATGTAGGGAAATGGCAGCGCATACATTATTTGAGATATGCGTGCCTGGCAAACAATTTTCTTATATCCTGCAACCGTTTCCCACCAATCAGGACAGGGTATTAATTAAAAAGTTGATTCCCTGCCAATCAGGACTGCTTTCAGTTTTATTACCCCGGATACAGGCTTATAAAAAAAAAGATCATTTTTTCAATAAAGTGAACATATTAATCAATTATATATATATAATTTATTATGATTTATATATATACAAATCTCTGCCCCCCGAAAGTGTCTCTTGGATTAATTTTGGCCCTTGGACAAATGTAGTTGGTGACCCCTGGTTTATAGCCTAATTTTCACCTGTGTCTATTGCATTTACGCTACAAAAATCATAAAGTGGTGTTAATATATGGAGAGTATCCTGCTGAACAAACCTGTTCGTAACATAAACATGTGTTTGCCACAGATATTATTTTCTGCAATCTTCCAAAATCACATGAAATAATCCCATTGCTTTATGTCCTGGGAGTCCTTGTGACGCTAGCTTTTGTTGCTTCACGACTTTCAAAAATAAATCAACACTGCATCACACTATGTAGGAATGATCATCATATGTTCTAATAACTTGTCCTCCTGTCCTGCAGGTGGCGGTACAGGCAGCCAGCAGACCATTCTCCATGAGGAGCAGTGGAAGATGCCGGCTCTGCCAGCACTGCTGCTGTCGATTTACATCCCCGCCCTCCTGCTGACCGTGGCCCCGCTCCTCTGCAGCCAGGCCGACTCCCTCTCTGCCGTCCGGATGGGTGAGTGCTGTCAGCTTTAAATCACACAATCACTGCCCTCCACTGTCAAAACTGCTGCAGGTCAAACTTCAGAATTTCAGTTATTTTTTCCAAATAAACAATGTATGAAACTAAGGAAGTAAGATTGGTGTTGTTCCTGATGATAAGTGAGAATATGATACAACCTGGATTTAACCTGCAGGTGGAAGGCATGCTCTCTCCACCGGATCCTCTTTGATCCTAGCTGAAATATGTCCACATTTCATGGATGAACTCTTTGGTGACCCCCTGACTTTTCATTTTATCTTTGAGAAGTTAGTATTTGTAGTGTAGGCAGGCTAACCAAGGCTCTGATTTCCCCAATATTTTATTTTATTTGTTTTTTCTTAGGAGCTACACAAAACAGCAAACATATTACAACAAGTTTCTGATTCAAGACTGGTTCATTAATAATACAAATTAAATGAGACAAAGGACAGCATGCACAAAGCATGTCACAGTTATATTGAACAAGTTACAATCTGACATTTTCCACAGACACTGTCCTGGATAACTCCAGGCTCTTTAATTTTACAAGAAAGGAGGTTGATTTCAAAGCCTTTTTTCTTGCATAGCTGTGAATGATTGCGACTCCTCACTAACTGATACTAGCGTTTCTTTGGTACATGAAATGGACAGTTCCAGGTCAGGGAAATTGGTCATTTGTCCTGACTTGAAATCTGATCATATCATCTTTGCTGTTGACTTTTGGAATCTATTGGATTTATTTTGGACCTCAAAGCTTGGACTTGAAACCCACTTCATCATACTGATAAATTAGACGTGATATTGTAAAAATGTTGATAAAACACCACGTTTTCTATTTCTTTGCAAACATTAGTAGTAGTAATTAGTATTTGAGTAGTGTAGTGTTCCAATCCACTGTTTACACCAGAAATAAAGAAGAAGTCAAACTAAATCCTCACAGGAAGCTAGATGTGAGCGGTGTGACAAGATGTGACTAGATGTGAACTCTGTCTTTGTTAAATGTTGACATGTTTCAGCAGCGTGAACAGCGCCTCGCTTTCGTCAAAATGAACCAAAGGCCAGTAGGTACACACACAGACTGGAAGCCTTTATCAATGTACATACTGTGATAAGTTCAAAACACCTGTAGAGAGGGGTATTTTTGTGAATTGTGATTTGTGTTGATGAACTTGGCAGAAAGTGGATCAGGAAGTGGGTGTGCTACCATGGAAACGGGGTCATCTGGCGCTGTGTAATGGCTCACCTTTCACTCTCCCATTAATAACAGCTGAGTGCCACACACACACACACACACACACACACACACACACACACACACACACACACACACACACACACACACACACACACACACACACACACACACACACACACACACACACACACACACACACACACACACACACACACACACACAGGTATGGGTGGTTTGTCAGGACTTTTTCCTCGTACCAGTTCAAACACTGATTTATGGGGACCCATCTTTCCCTTTGCCGTAGAGAAACCGCAGAGTGCTTGAACTGATCATTATATTTTCAGCTACATTTCTGGCTATTTAGAATTCAGTTTTGGTAAAAGAGTCTGGAGATCTGTAGACCTGAAATTCTACAGGACTGTGGGGACGGGGGCGGGAGTGGGCGTTTCCTGACAAAATGATGACTTATGAGAACCCCTCTGGATTAGCTGGACATTACCCATACACACCCATACACAAAGCAAGTCCCTAAGTTATGAGGACCACAATGGTATATCTGGACAATATACACACACACACATAATTGTAGAAAACCTTTACTCATGAGGACAATAATGGTTTCACTGGACATTATCCTCAAACATGTGTTGTGCAATATTTTGTTACTGAAAAAGTAGCCCAATACTTCCGTTTATTTTAAATCTTGAACAGAAAAAAGTATTTAACTTAGGAGAGCAATGGTACAAAGAGCAGACCACTTTCTCATTTTCACAGACCTCAGTGTTCAGAGACCTGAACATCAACATATGCAGCTTTTTTCTTGTTGCTTTGATGACAAACACCTGTTTTTAATAACCATATGCAGGGATTTTGCGATGGACAATAAGTATTTCTGACAATCTCTTTACCAGTCGGCTGTCATTGAAAAGTGACAGAAGATTTAATTCTGACAGAGACCTTGACATATGATAGAACCTGCGCAGCCTAAAATTATTATGGAAAGAAGTGAAATATTGAGAAATGTTGTCTTTTTAGTGGACAAGTGAATATTAAGTTGATTGAGTTGCTCAGAAATAAGGTCAAGATCAAAAGCTAAGTTGAAATGTAGTCATGTATTGATAACTGGCAATTCTGGTATTGTGACAATACAAACATAGACGGACAAACATTGCAAACACCTAAACAGTGAAATAAAATAAATTACTATAAATATATAAAATAATGACAAGTTAATTTGTATAAAATGTACATATCTACTTCTAAAAAATATAAAATACTGAAGTGGCGACATGAATATATACTAGGACGTGTAAATAAAAACGTTTGAACAGTCCTGACTGTCCCCCCTCCCGAAAAAACAAAATTGTGTTTAACTCCTGAACAAAAAGCAAACTTATATATACTTTTGAATGATAATTACATTATCATATCCCTCTAACATCCTGTTAAATCAAAAATACACCGACTGAAGGAAAAATGTATGCACTCACAATCTAATTTCATTGACTTGAATTATAAGGACTATTATGGGCTATAGAGAGGTGCAGGGATGAAGTATTTACCCGGAAGTAAGCTGCTAGTTCCCCCGACAAAAAGCAATGGGATTTTTCCATAGGAATTTGGAAAATAGCTCGAAATAAGGTCTGTGGAAAACAAACCTGTTTGATAAATGCACGTTTTGTTCAGCCGGATAATATCCACATGTCTTCCCTACTTTTATCATTTTCTAATCATAAACCTAATCACCAGAAGCAAAATGCTAACGTTATGCTATAAACGAACTACAGCAGGAACGAACTTAAGATCCATATTCAAACATACAGATTCTAAATGGTACAAGTTGAAGCGTTTGTTTGAACAGTTTGCAGGAGGCAGGTACTTGCTTTCAAGCAGAACAGGGCAAACTAACTTAGAGGAGTGTTTATGTGTTCGGAGTAATGACGTACAACGTCCTCCACAACTTCTGTAGTCCTATTCAGCCACTTGGTAACAACCATCGTTTTTCAGACATGTCAACTCTTCAGAGATCACCAGTGGGGTCACTGCTGATGGATTTAATGTCGTAGAACAAAACGTGATCTGTCTCTTAAATGTGTCTCGACCACAGACCTTATTTCCAGATATTTTCCAAAATCCTATGGAGAAATCCCATTGGCTCTGAGACGAGGGAACAGGAAGTGGTCAAATGCTAACTCACTTCCTGGTTTTAGGACTCGTCACTGCACCACTCTATTTGGAGTTCACCTATGCACACACACAAACACAGAGGCCATTGTTATGATGAGCTCAAAAGGTATAATGGTTATAATTCTTAAACAAACCTAACAAAACCTAATTTATGAGGAAATCTGGTATAACTGGGCATTTTATACACACACACTAACCTAATAATACCTTAGTTATAAGGACATCTGGTATAACTGGGCATTTTATACACACACACTAACCCAGTGGTTCTCAAACTTTTTCTGTCAGGCCCCCCCTTTGGAGAAAATAAAAAGTCGGGCCCCCCCAATACAAATAGTCAGGCTCAGTGGCGGCGCCAGAGATTTATTTTGGGGGTGCTGTGGGGTAGCTTGACGTTTCATAGAGGGTGCTCAAACATTTAGGGTTTCCCATTAATGTACCGGGCGCTACAGTGGAATGTTCTACTGCAACACTCCCCATGCAAATACACAATGTAGCCGCGACTGTTACAATGAAGGCTCAATAATCAGCTCACGGCATATACGTGTAAGCAGGGGTAAAGTGCTATTTTTATAGGTGGTGTGTGGACCTCACACACAAGATTTTTTTTTAAATATTGAAGTTAAAAGCATCAATCTGGTGCACTTTGAGAACAAAATGAAGAGATCTATGGATACCTCTCTGAACACCCATATGAAACAGAACTGTAAACAGATTGACTTTTTCTTTATGGATATTTTACAAATCACCCTTTTAAACTTTATTCTTATTTTACTGTCATATAGTATTTCATACCTGTTTTTCCATTTATTCTCTTATTTTTTTATAACTATAATGATCATATAAACGTGTGCCTCGGAAATAATTGTTTACATTAATGGTGACCAAAACATTTGAGACCCACTGAGATAACACTGAGAGAGTCCTTTAGCTCACTCAGCCTCTCAGTCTGACAGGAGAGGACTGTCCTCCACCTTGATGTTGAAAAAACTCCTTATATCCGTTAGCGTAGCTCGCTAGCACCAGCTAACAACAACGATCTCCGGTACCGGTGCGCTCTCTCTCTCTCTCTCGCTCGTGCACACAAAATGGCTCGTTCCACACACACACAGAGCCAAGCTTTAATGAAACACAGAGACCCAGACGTAATAGTACTGTACTGTATCATATTATTTTCGAATCAATCATTTTTTAATAACCATTTTTCCTCCTGGTCTCTTGCGCCCCCCCTGGCATGCCTCCCCAGGGGGGGCGCGCCCCCCACTTTGAGAACCACTGCACTAACCTAACAAGACCTTAGTTATAAGGACATCTGGTAACTGGGCATTTTATACACACACACTAACCTAACAATACCGTACTTATTAGGACATCTGGTATAACTATGCAATTCTTTGTATACACACACTAACCATCTAATTAGGGATGTCCCGATCCGATCACGTGATCGGGGATCGGAGCCGATCACGTGATTTTCACGTGATCGGGGATCGGGAGAAAAAAATCGGGGATCGGATTTTTTTTTTTTTTTTTTTTATAAAATATTTTTATACATTTTATTTAATGTTACAAAACAAAAATGACCATGTTCACGTCTTAAAGTCATCCTGAG